AGAAATTTTAAATAGTTAATTTGATACTAATATCGATATATTTTTGTCTAATTTTTATGATATCTTCAAACTTATATTTCATTCAAAAATAAAATATCATCCCTTTCTCAAAATCACATAATACCATATTATAACATCAATTGAGATAAAAAATAAAATATTAAAATCAAGATATATCTCGCAGCATTGCACGAGTACACTTCTAGTTAATAATAATAATAGAAGAAAAAGAGTTGAATTTTTTTTTTAAAGATAACTAATGGATTAATTTTACCCAAACCCATGTTTCACTTGTTTAGCTGCTTGGTTGAATGCCTTTTTTTCAACTTTTTCGATATGCAATGCCATTTTTACCCATCAGGCTTACTCTTTCCAACCCATCTCACGTCGGTGAAAATTAACAAATTTACTCCATCCTCTACTATATATATTTGATCCTCACCCCTTAAAAACTCAAGTGGCTTGAGCCCATTGGCTTGAGCGTGTGTGGCTTGAGGTCTAGTTCGTTTAAGTCTGTTTGTCCATGTTTGTTATGTTCATTTGTTTATGTTTGTTTGTTTATGTTTATTTAACATCTTAACAAACAAACACAAACATAAACACAATCATTTCCTAAATGAAAGAACACGAACCCAAAGAATTTTGTTTGTTTACTGTTCGTGTTCGTTCGGTTTAGTTAAACGAACGGACACGAACAAGCCTCTGTTCGTGTTCGTTCGGTTCGTTTACAACTCTATTTATCGCATGTACCATGTTCATTAGCATTTATGAGAATTGGGATATTTGATTTGGAGGTCCTGTATTTGTTTATATAACTTATTGGTTTGTTCAATTATCGTTTGGTTTTTTGGTGGTAAACAATGTCTTGTAAAGAAAGAGTGATTTTTTTGGACATCATGAGGTTTGTTGCATTATTACCAATGTGTCTTGTAAAGAATGAGTGATATTCATCCTTGACTTTAACAACCATTAACTGGCCCCATTCAATAAGAGTAAATTACGTTTTTTTGTTAAATATTTCTGTTTTCATCCCTAGTCTTTTTTTATTAAGTTTTTAGTCATTATGCTTTGCATTATATTTCTACTTTCGTCCTTGGCTCTGACGCCGTGTTGTGTTCCCGTTAAAACACATCACGTGCCCCTCATATCTTTAGTCTCTTCAACTTTCCCGCTTTTAGCTACATCCATTCATTTCACTTTCATCGCGGGTAAAAACTAGGGTTTCTAGAAGGCATCATTTCACCCAAAAAAAACTCCACACACGTTTCTCCCACGTTCCACTACAGCAGCATCTGCGATAGTCAACAAATGTTCAAATATGTGGCGACTTCGATTATCGTACGAAGTTTTTAACCCACATGACCTAACCTATATGGTAATCTTCTTTTTTTCAATGTTCACTTTGTTCTTTTTATTCTTGCAATCTAATGTTGTTCATCTTCTCTGAGATGTGGGTGGATCCATGTTATCGGCTTGATACTTGGAGGGTTGTATATAGTTTCAAGATTAATCCACTCAATGGGCCTGAGATGTGGCCCATATCAACTTGCCTTACTAAATTCAAGTAAGGGGTTATTTGTTTTACCTCTTGGTAGTTTCATTAAAAGGCAACATCTGAATCGTTAAGAGGTGAACCTTGTTTAGTAAAAAAACAAATTTGCCTCTTAATGGTTCTAAAATCCTCTGAATGATTTTCATCCTGAGCCTCCCTTAACCATTCAGCGCCCTAATTTCATCGTAAGCAATTACCAAACAATTATATTTCATTTTGCACTATATCATGAGAGCCTCTTAATCATTCTGACCACTTAATCATTCTACACCAAACCATTCAACAACTACCAAACAACCAGTAAGAAAGTGAAAGTTCAGTCCTCACAGTTTTTCTATCCCACTGCCAAAGTAAACAACTCAGGTGGACAAGAGGCGAACCACTCAACCAATGAGTCAGTTATACACTTCCCCAGACGTATATATTTATCTTTTCAGGTTCAATGAGGACAGCCCTCGTAACAGCGAACTCCCCCTCCCCATCACAAACAAGTTGGGAGACCAAGGAAGAAACGAAAGAGGACTGCTGATGAGCTGACTCAACCGTTGGTAAAAGGAAGCAAAATTTCAAGGCTTGGAAAAACCGTCACATGTGTGAAATGCAAGAAGAAAGGCCACAATGAAAGAGGACTTGCAAAGGTCAAGACATGGAGACATAAAGTTCACCGTTCGACTCTTCTACTTCTAATGTTACCTTCAAATGAAAAAAAAAAGGTTTTATTAGAGAATATGATATGTTCATTAAGGCTATCTGTTGACGTGTATGAGCCATCCATCCATCCATCCATGGATGTTTCTTAATTCAACTATGGCTAACATGTAAAGATCACAAGTATTCCCCACAGTTTGAATTTTATTGATATGAAACCCAAAGCCAGAACCATTTATATATCTCTAAAGCAAACAGACAAGACACAATCTCTGTTTACTTGATCAAATTGATGCTAAAATCCCACAATCTCTTTGCCAAATCCATGTCTTTACCCTGTTCTGTCGTCTCCGCCAAGTTGCTATCCAAAAAATATTTACCACTTACCCCTTTCACCGCCGGGTGCAGTGCTAGATAGCATGTTGTAGCCGCTCCCTGAAACACGCCACTCAAATAAGCTTTGATTTTAAATCAAGAAAGAAATATGTTCAGTTTGATGATAACCATAAAGTTTGCTAACCTGCTCAACATTTTTCATCAGACAGCTGCTCAGCTTGCTAACAAAACCTGCATTTAGATATGTATAACAATGGGATGGGGTTTACATTATGCTGCAACACTTGTTTTATTTCTATTTGGCAAAGATTCAAGAAAATTACCTTCAGCAAAGCTGGGAGGAGTAAAAATATGGCGGAATAAATTCGTCGAGATTACTCCCGGATGAAGAGAGTTTGCAGTTATTTCTGCTCCCTCTTCCTGTTCAACCATACATCACAACTCGAATCACTACATGTCTCCATTCCTAAAACATACTTTGCTTCGTAAGGGTGTTTTGATAGTTGGTACATCATGGCGCAAGAGTTAGGTAGGTGGGTGAAAGAATTCTAGAAGGGTAGGTTAGTAATTTACCAATCTTGTCCCATTTCCTTGATTTCGTTCCACCTATTTTGGTCAGACAGAAATAATTCATTTTTGTCCAAGTTGTGCCAAACATGGGACAACAAGTTTTTGTTTTGTCATGTCTTGTCCTGTCCCGCATTAAGGTCTCAAACCTCTACCTTTTCCGAATCAAGATATGGACCCTGTGACAAATTTGGCACCGGCATGTTTTTATTTGTAATTATAGTATCTACTCTTAGAGTTCAATATGGTGATCAACTATGTTTCTAGTTTTTGAAGTTCTAACGAATCCTTGTCAAGTTAGAAGTTGAAAACCGGTCTGTTTGACTTCAAAAATCAAGACTGTTGGATACCACTTTCATATACCATAATCTTATGAAAACGGAAGATATACCTTCAGGCGTCTTGTAAGCTCATTAGCATGCAGGATGTTGGCTAGCTTTGATTGACCATATGCTTGATATTTACTGTAACTGTACAACATCACCTAATCAAGTTGAATCGGAACACGGATTTGTTGAACTTCTAATAATATCACATGCAACGGAAAAAGATGCTAATCAGAGCACAATGTGTTGCAAACTGTTAGAAACTAGTGGGAAAAATGGTAATCAAAATGCGAGATATATGACCAAAAGATCCCCAAATTTCATTACAGATCAAAAACAGGTCTAGAAGGTACTTCAAGGAAGATCATCCTTCCAAAGCTGGGAAAAATAACGATGAAAATGGGAAAGAAATCTTAGCCGGTTGATTATATTAGTTAGAGATAATTACGATTATATTAGTTAGAGATAATTACGATTATATTAGTTAGAGATAATTACGGATTTGATTTATATTTATCATTAATTATAGCCGATAGGGTTTCTTTGTACATACCCTATATATAGGGATTTTCGGTTAATGATGAAGGTATCGAGTTTTGCAAACTTTCAAGAAAGCCGTCTTTTTTTTAGGGGAAAACCACAGATATGATGATGGTGATCCCGAAAATGCAATGGAACAATCTTAGACTAAAGTCATTTCAAGAAAACTTACTGTTTTTCGTCATTCATCTTATCAAAACGAATTCCTTCAGGATAAGTAAACCTATGGGCCTCGGACGATACATTCACAATCCTTCCCTCTTTCTTACTTTTACGTGCTGTTTTTTTCATATTGTCCAGCAACAGAACGGTCAGAAGGAAGTGACCTGCAAACACCAAGGTTTTAACAATAGATAATATTCTTTTTTTGATTAACCTGGATATCCAACTTGCTATGCAAGCTGACTAATCCCAGGGCGAACACCAGCTTCGCAGGTAGCCTGGAGTCACCTCATTTGAACCTCCGTGGCCACAAGGGGATTTTTATTCCTCCTTGGATTCGAACCTGGAACCTCCAGGCACTTTTGACCTTTGGAGCCCAAGCTCAAACCAATCGGGCACCACCCTTGTGGTTTAGATAATACTTAAAGCAGTGCACGAACAAACAAAAACACATGAAAATTAATACCTAGATGATTGGTAGCAAACTGTAGCTCTATGTTATCTTTAGAGAGCATAAATGGAGTCATCATTATACCTGCATTGTTTCTTAACACAAACCAAGATGGAAAAAAAAGAAAAGCTTAAGCTTTTGTAAGCCAACAGAAATACGTACTCCCTCCCTTCCAAAGAAATTAAAGGTTGGTTTTAAGAACCCTTTTCAAGATCAAAACTGACATAAATTCTTTAGAATTTTTGTAAAAGTTTGCCGATCACAATGAAGGTTGTAACATATACCACAATAAGAAAACATTGGAGCTTTTTTTATGGAGTGTTGTTTTTTAATGTGCAGAATACGGAGGAAAACTTATAAGACTTGTATGTTATGATCTTACATTAATAAGTTTAATGATTGACCACTTGAATTAAAATCGGAAGCAAATTTCCTAACAGATGCCATGGAATTAAGATCCAACTCCATTGCATCAATTTTGGCTGTTGCGATTTCATTCATGATCGCTTCTTGAACCTGTTTGCCAGCGGTCATATTCCTGACACCCATAACGACATGTGCCCCGCGCAACGCTAGAACACGTGCTGTTTCACGCCCGATACCACTTGATCCTCCTGTAGTCGTGCGTTACATGTGAGTAAAAGAACATAACTTCCTACAAAGATGTCTTATCTAAGTCCAACAAATCCAACATTAATAGGATTGAATCAGTTCCACCTATATGATCCATTGGATAGGCAATATGTTCCTTTTCAGAAGGACATTGCTATTTATGAATGAAGATAGGTAGAATAGTTTGAAATGCTAGACACAGCTTCTTTTCCATTACAAGCCAAACCTAGTACTTTAAAATGGAAAACAAACAAACATGGGGTTTCTTACAAACTTTATACCTAATTCCCTGGAGATCATATGATCCAAACAAAAGGCCATCTTAAAACTCCATAATTAGTACTTGACGACTACTGTTTGGTGCGTCTTAAGTTTGTTAATGGCAGATTATGTGGGTTTTCAACAATTTTTTGTTGGATTTGTACTGTATACACTTGAATTACGTTGAAATCAAAATTTCTTTTGGCCAGGGGTTTATTTTAACCTAAATAGTCCTAGAAAACGCATCCGATTTCGATCAAAACCCAGAGAGGAAATACAATTAGCAAAAGGGAAGAAGCAAAAGTGGGACCTGTTACAATGGCGGTGAGACCAGAGGCATCAATCCCATCGGTAACCTGCTCGGCGGTTGAATAATGCGAGAACCCAGAAGGTCCTGGTTTTCGAAACAACCACATAATAAGTGGAAATTGGGATGAATTCTGAAATGGGTTTGTTGATATTTGATGAAAGAAAAGAGGGTTTTATCTTGGAAATGGCGAAAGTAGTGTGGATTTGATGGGAAAAAGCAGAAAGGAAGGAAAAAAAACGAGAAAGTAATGGAGTCCATGTTGCCACCTCATCGATTCAAGCTCAGCCCGTATCAACACTCCACAGTCCACACGCATCAACGACCAACGCCGTCTTCCGTTTGCTCACTATTAGAGTGTGACTTCTAACCTCCACATCTAAACAAACCAAGTCATATTATTTAATATTTTTATGTGGGATTATTTTAAACTACTTCGGATATTCGTGTAATATGTTGAACCATAAGTTTTCCTTGATTTATAAGTTTAAATCTAGCTCTATTAGGAGTGTAAACGATACGTGATAAACTCGCGAGTTACTCGAGATCGACTCGAATAGGCTCGACTTGAACTCGATCTCGACTCGACGTATTAACGAGTCGAATCAATCTATCCAATACTCGATTCGAAAAAACTCGTGAGATACTCGATTATTGTATATATAATTAGTTTTAAAATATAATCAGTTTTAATGATAGAATTTATAAAATGTAAATAATAAAGATGCCTTAAAATTTTAGATATTTAAACAAAATTATGCATTTTCTAATCATAAAAGTTAAATAAATTATTTCTTATTAAAATAAAGATAAAGAAAAATTATAAAAAAAGGTTAGTGAAATTGTCCTACATTAAAAAGAGAGATGATAAAGGAAGGAAGAAAAGATGTTATAAAAAGAGGGGGAGGTGAATGAAATTTCTAACTTTATCTTTTTGATGATGAAGTTTGAAGTTGATCCCTTTGGTTTTATAAAAACTAAGAGAATACCTTTATTTTTTAAAATTTATATGAAAAAAACCCTAAAATTTCATAAATTTCAATAAGTGAGCTTGATTCGAGCTTTAGTTTGAGTTTGAGTTCAAGTTCAAGTTTGATTTGAGTTGCAGTTCGAGCTTGATCGAGCTTAGTTCGAGCTTGATTCGAGTTTGAGTTTGAGAAATAGTTATCAAGTTCGAGTCGAGCTTTGATTTTTACTACTCGCGAGTTTTCGAGTTGAGTTCGAGCTTGGAAATTGAGTTTCAAGTTCGAATCGAGTATAGTGATACTCGAGTTCGACTCGCATCATTTACATCCTTAAGCTTTATTATGTTTATCTTTATTTGTTTCGTCATATCCTTTAGATAATATCATATTTATCCTACAACACTCTTCTTGTGCCGAGTCAAAGGAGTGGTAGTGCACAATTGTTGTCCAGTTAAAATCATGTCAAAATAAAAAGCGAGCAGGAAAATAAAAATAGGACGAAGAAAAGAGTACAACACACCAGTTTTTTTTGCAATGCATAGACTTTTTATTTAGTCTGATATTCTCTCAGATCAAGGAAAGCAAGATGGTATATAAACTGTTGCCTCACTAAAACCTTACATCAAGGAACAAAACTCAATGAGAAAAAAAAAAACTTTAGATGAAAGAAAGAATACAACATACAAATATTACACATACAGTAGACTCTCACTTTTATCTACTACTCACCTTGATTCGTGGAGTTTGGAGCACATTTGCATTTTAATATTTTCCATATGTCTGCCAAATATGGTTTTAGGTAAATATTTGGTAAGGAGATATGTCAAATATGGTAGTGGGAATGATCCTTAGCTCCAGTAATGAGGGTGTGTTACCAAAGGGCCTTCAGCCTAGCGGTATCGTAGTTCTTGGCCTCCTAGGAGGTCAAGGGTTCAAACCTCACCAACGGTAAGGAGGGTGTATGAGTTTATTTATTGCATTTGCCGTATATAAATATTATATACTTCAAAAAAAGGGTGTGTTGTTGTAAGAAGAATAAGACAAAAACTTATTTAATAAAAAGTGCATAGAAGTTTAAAAAAAGGTCATTGCAACTGTTAGAATTTAAGACGATTGGTGTAATCAATTTGAAACAACGAGATCACTATGTAATTTCAAAAAAATTATGCAAACATTAACAATTGTCATAATTGATTTGAAATTACATGAATGTCCAATCCTTTCGATTTGACTATATCAATCGTATCTAACCCTCACGAACATTAAATTCATACGTTAAGTGAGGTGCATTTTGGTCTTTTTGGCCTTTTACTCTTTTATTTTCTTAAACAAACATTTATATTCTTACCGTAGCACACGCTCAACACAAAAAATTGAAGGAGGCTCATTATGATTACCATAAATCTGTTTTCAATTCGCAACTGGATTAGAATCCGGAATACCTTCTTCCTGTAGCATACGCTCAACATAGAAACTCAAGGAGGCTCATTTTGATTACCATAATATATTGAAGCTTGCTATTGGATCAGGTGTCCGGAATGCATTTACTTTCTCGTCGAATCACACAATTCATCAACGACATCCAATTGAATTGGACTTCAACAGAGTATGGTAATTAGAATGAGTCTCCTTTAGCTCCTGTAATGAGTGTGCGTTGTGGTAAGAAAAAAACCCGATTTTATTTAATAATAAAGTTTAAAAGGATTAATAGAAATGTCAAAATACACATAGTTTAACTAACGAACTTAACGACTCTTAGGGTCAGAGATGGTTGGTGTAAACAATTTGAAACGATGAGATCACTGCGTCATTTTGGAAATTTTTATGCAAACATGATTAGTTGTCACTTTAGTTTTGAAATTACACCAACATCCCGTGTTTCAAATTGTTTATATCAAACGTATCTGACCCTGATGAACATCGAATTCGTGTGCTAAGTGAGGATCATGTTGGTCCTTTTTTCCTTTCTCTTTTTCTATTACATATATATTTCTCTTTTTCCCGTAAGAAACACTCAGACACCGAAATTGGAATTAGCTCAGTTACCTTTTGTATTCTGTTACCGGATCTGATGTCCATAATGCATTCATTTCCCCATCAAATCATGCAATCCATCAACAACAATAGAATACAATTATTAAAATGAGTCTCTTGCTTCTGTGTTAGTGTGTTTGTTATGGTATGAAGAAAGCAAATGTTTAAATAATAAAAAGAGTAAAAGTGTTTAATTGGTTTGAGTCTAGACTCAGAAAAAGTCAAAAGTGTTTGGAGGTCTCAGATTCAAATATAAGTAGGAATAAAAATCTTTTTGTGATCACGGAAGTTTAAATGCGGTGACTCCAGGTTACCTATAAAGCATGTAGTCGTTCTGAAATTAATCAACTCACATAACGAGTTGGATATCTAGGTTAAACCAAAAAAATAGATTAAGGATTTTTTTAAATAAATATAATTAAATAATCTTTTGCTGTATAATACTAGGGTGTTTTATTTTCTTTAAAAAAATTCAAACGTTCCCCTTAAATAAGAAGCGGATGTGATTAAGGGGGTGTTCAGGATTGCTTATTTGAAACAACTTATGTTTTTCTACAGAAGCATTTATCAGAATGGTTTAACTTTTTAAAAAACTCCTTATTACCGGTTTGTCACCAGTATAAGTTGTTTATCCAAACACTCAAAAGTGCTTATTACCGATGTCATACTGGAATAAGTTAATAAATTATTTTTATAAACAATCTCAAATATCGCCTATAAAAGAATTGTTATTTATATATTATCTATTATATAGACTTTTGTTTTTTTAAGTAAGAGATGCTAAAGTTTAAAATATTATTTTATTTCTAACAAATAAGAGTTGGTATTAAAATCTAAAATCTAAATAATAATACTGTTTATTTTTGTAAACCGATAAATGTCTAAATTTGTTTAAATTATTTATTTTCTCCGATAAAAAGTTATAGGATCGAATTTGTACATAAATTTATATAACTTTATATATTTATTCATCTATCATTATAAAATTTATATCTAAATTATATAATTGACATTCATTTAAACAAAAATATACCATTAACGATATCTAACATATTTAAATTTTATTAAAATATATCAATTTAGACAGATGAAAATTGATTTGATAAGGATAAGGATTGATCGAAAGAAATGATCCATAAATTTGGAGAACAACAAAAGATAAATAAGAGGTTGATTTACCTCTTACAAGATAAAGATAAAAATAAGAAAAAGATGTTTATGATAAAGACAAAACTCATGTCCAAAAATATCTAGTTTGATGCGTCTTCATTGAATTCTCAACACTTTTTAAGTAATAAATATAAACGGGGTTTGTTGTATATGGAAAGAAAACAAGAAATTAAAATCCTTTCATTTTAAGAACCCTAAATTAAGCACTTGTCGTGGAGACAAAACATCGTCTATGAATCTTTGCCTGCAGCGTAATATTTCTTGAAAGCCTTTGGCAGATAAAATGGCAGCAAAAACCCAAATAGATTGAAGCTCCAGAAAACCATATTAGCCATCGCAAGACTCCTTCCCACCTGCAATCTTCTGCTGCTCCCATGGTGCTCTTTGTTTGCTTTCGTTATCTCGTCCTTCACCCACTCCAAGATGGCATACATCCTCATCGAATTATACACCACCGGTACGAAAACCCTGATCGGCAGAGAAAACCCGCCGGAAAACGTCACACCTTCCATGAAAACCTGGCTCGCCAGCAGGAAAACATGGGGTGCAGCTGCTTTGATACCCTCTTTATCACCTGCTAAAACACCATGAACTATGTATGCCACCGGAAGAAGTAGTCCGATGACGGCTCCGACGGAGACGTAGACGGTAAGAAGGCGGCTGCTGTTGCCGAAAACTGGTGGTTCAGGGGTGGAGGAGCGAGTGGGGAAAGCAACCTTGGACATAAAGAACATGTAGAAGAAGGAGAGGAGGACAAAGGCGAAGTCTTGGAAGGCCACCATGCCAGAGGCGGAGAGAACGATGATGAGAGCAAGGGCGTTGAGTTGCTGGAAAGAGAAGAAGCCTCGCCGGCGGCCGATGGATGGTTTTTCGTTGGTTAAGGCAATGGGTGCAACCCCACCTGACATGGTTGTGGTCTGAAAGTTGGGTTTTCCTTGAACGTGAAATTGGGGGATGGATGAGTGTATAAGTGGCGGTTGGTGGTGGCAACAACTGACACGTATGGGATTGAACCACCGCGTCATGTTTTTAAAGATGTAAAAAACATATATTAAAATTGGTTTATTTTTATTTTTTTATATTTTATGAGTGAATTACACTTTTAGTCCCTGTAAAGGTTTTCTAGGATTTAAGCTTATATTGTTGGTGATTTGTATCACTAATATAATTTAACTGTAATGAGATTAATTTGTTGACTAATTTAATCATGATAAATATCGAACAAGTAAGGAAGGCGGCAGCGCCCCCGATGGCGGGGTCCAAGGGGGGGCAGCCCTTGGCTGAGGGTGGAAGTAATTTTTCGGGTAATATTGTTTTGTGGAAATTGCATCAAAAATTCGAATTTTTAAATTTTAAACCCGGTTTTTGGCCCGGTTTTTTAAACCCGGTTTAGGGTTCAAAAAACTGTCGTTTTGACAGTTTCCGTATTTTCAAATTTTGAATTGGTTATTTCGTCTTGAGAGGTACACATATTCATAACGATTTTGGATTCTTAGTTTTGTCAACCACTGATTGAGATTTCGATTGTATCGTTGAAATACTTCAATCTGAAAGTGATATACGACTTTTAGTGGATTCCAAACAATCGAAAAACCAGAAATTCTAACATATATACATACATGTAGAGATGTAGTGGTTATAAGGAAGGGCATGGAGTTTTAATTTGCATTTATAATTCTTTGAAAAAATGGGTGGTGATGCTTTATAAATATGTAAATTACCAAATGGATGCTTAAATTTCTAAGTTCCCATCATCCATGAAGTCGTAGATTGTGGTGGTTGTACCCATGAAAGGAGGTTAAGGGACGTTATGTGTTTATGATGAACACTCATGAGAAGCTTAGTCAATCATTACAACCTTTATAGATTTAAACGTCTTAATAGAATATTTTATTAAACTTAGGTTTATAGGACTAAACTATTAACGTATTATCTAAAAGTTTTTACAATAAGTTTATAGACGTGTTTAGGATTTTTATCAAGTTTTTAAAGACGTTTTTACACTACAAAAAATGCAGAGTATCAACGAAGGAAATTTCCCTCGCAAATACGGCGCTAAAAGGGTCATCCGTCGCTGATACTCCGTTGGTCAAATGCTCGTAGATAATGCTATCAGCGACGGATTTGCGAGGGATACTTTCAGCAACGGATCAGCGAGGGAATAGCTTCAGCGAAGGATCAGGGAGGGAATATATCAGTGACGGATCAGCGAGGGAACTTTCAGTGACGGATCAGCGAGGGAACTTTCAGCGATGAATCGGCGAGAGAACTTTCAAGGACTTTCAGTAACGGATTTTCCCTCGCTAATCCGTCACTAATTTGTATTAATCTAAAAATTAAATTTTTTGAAATTACATAAATCCTTTATTTATTTATACAAAACCTGACCATAATATAACTAACCAAAATTGTGAACAAATTAAAACTAATCAATTCATACGATTTAACATATCCAATTCATACAAATGATACAATTTAAAATATTCAATTAATACAAAGTGAGAAAATACATTTGGGGTTTGGAGTCTAATATTAGAAAGTATGTAATTTCTAGGAACTCATGTTACATTTCAAGTGGCAGTTGATGCAGTAGAAATTTTGGAACAGGATATCATCGATAACCACCAGAAAAGATTAGGGAGAAAAGGAAAGGGGAGACAATAGCAACTGATTTCCGTAGACCTAGATTTATTGGAAACCAGAACCGTCCTACGTCAAGGTTTACTGATAGAACATGTGCTCAATGTAAAAAAAAATACATCAAGGATAATACAACAATGAACCACGAAAATGTTATAAATATCAAGAATCGGGTCATATAGCTAAAGATTGTCGAATAGTACGAAGATGTTTTATGTGTAATTCTTTCCAACATATTAATGCTAATTGTCCATAAGCAAAGGGGCGAAGATTGGGTTATTCTGGAGGCCATCCACCCAAACGGGAGGACAGTGTTTAATCGTAATGTTCCTGGTGGTCATGTAGAAGTAAGACATAGAGAGACAGTGGCTAGGGGACGAGCCTTTTAGATGACGAGAGACGAAGCTGAAGAAAACCCCGAAGTGGTGATAAGGTACATTCTTTGTTAATTCATTATATGCCAAACTCTTATTTGATTCCGGTGCAAATCATTCTTTTGTGTCACCTTCATTTGTTGGATGCACGTGTTTAAAATCTAAGGTGCTAGATAATGTTCTGGTGATAGAAACAACAACTATAGTGAGGTATCGGTTAAAGAAGTTTTTGATGATTAAACTATATTAGTAGAGGGGTGTGAGGTACTCATTCAACTATTTCCCTATGTCGTTAAGGGAATTTGACATAATTATGGGTATGGATTGGTTGGCTAAAAACCAAGCCAATAAAATATGTAATAAGAAAATGATTCATATAGATTTACCGGGGAAGGGACCGGTTATAATCTATGGCGATAGACAAGATCGTTATTCCAGCCTCATTTCTGTCTTAAAGGCTCGGAGGTATGTACAGAAAGAGTGTGTCAGTTTTCTCGCTTATGTGATTGATATAAAGAACGAAAATAATAAGATGGAGAATATTCCTATTGTAAGTGAATTTCTAGAAGTGTTTCCGGAAGATTTATCAAGTTTACCTCCTGATCGATCGATAGGACTTTAGATCGAGTTGTTAACTTGAGTTGTGCCAGTTGCTCGTGCACCATATAGATTAGCTCCGTCTGAGTAGAAAGAGTTAATGTCACAGTTGAAAGAATTGCTGGATAAAAGTTTTATCCGATCGTTTACATTTCCTTGGGGTGCACCGGTATTGTTTGTAAAGAAGAAAGACGAATCGATGAGAATATGTATCAATTACCATGAGTTAAATAAGTTGACAATCAAGAACAAGTATCCACTCCCAAGAATTGATGATTTATTTGATCAATTGATTGGGGCTAGTTAATTTTCGAAGATTGACCTAAGATCCGATTATCATCAGCTAAAGATACGAGAGGAAGATGTGCCGAAGACATCATCCCGTACGCGTTATGGGCATTACGAGTTTTTGGTAATGCCGTTTAGACTTGCATATGCACCAACGACATTCATGGACATGATAAATAGAGTATGTCATCCGTATCTCGATAAATTTGTTATTCTTTTTATCGATGATATACTGATATACTCTCGATCTGAGAAAGAGCACGTGAATCATCTGCGATTGTTTCTAGAACTTTTGAAACAAGAAAAGGTGTATGCAAAGATGTCAAAATGTGAGTTATGGTTACGAGAAGCCCAATTTTCCGGGCCATGTCATTTCTGAGGTGGGTATTAAAGTGGATCCCCTCAAAATTGAATCCATCGATAAGTGGGAAGCACTGAAAACACCAACAAAAATTAAGAGTTTTTTCGGATTGGTAAGTTATTATCGAAAGTTTATACAAGATTTTTCTCGTATTGCTACACCGTTAACCGGACTGACGAAAAAGAATTGTAAAATTTGAATGGAAGAGGTACAAGTTGAAGCTTTTTTCAGATGTTAAAAGATAAATTATGTAGCGCGTCAATTCTATCCTTACCTAATGGTACGAAATATTTTATAATCTATAGTGATGCCTCGAAATTGGGTTTGGGTTGCGGGTTGATGCAACGTGAAAAGGTTATCGCTTATGCCTCAAGACAATTAAAGAATCATGAAATCAATATCCTACCCATGATATGAAACTGGCAGCCGTAGTCTTTGCTTTGAAAATCTGGAGACATTATTTGTATGGGACTAAAATGCCAAATTTTTACTGATCATAAAATTTTGCAGCATTTGTTCCATCATAAAGACTTGAAGATGCACCAAAGACGATTGTTAGAATTGGTTAATGAATATGAATGTGAAATCTTGTATCATCCACGCAAGGCTAATGTGGTAGATGATGCATTAAGCTGTAAAAAAACGAGCGGTACAATTAAAGCTATAGCCTTGAGAGCTGAGTTATTGTTGAGCATTCATGAAGAACTACAAATATCCAAAGGCGAAGCTGTGAGAGAAGACAATATCAAGCAAGAACGACTTGGTGGGGTGTTGTTTGAGTTAGTAAAAGACAGTCGAGAATTGTTGTGTTTCTAAAATAGAATCTGGGTATCGTGTTATGGTAATCTCGAGAAAGAATTTTGAGTGAAGCTCACAAATCTCGTTTTTCTATCCACTCGGGTACGAATGAAATGTATCCAGATATGAAACAAACTACTGGTGGTTGGCATGAAGAAGGTTATAGCAAGTCATGTTGATCGGTGTCTGACCTGCATGCAAGTGAAGATAGAGCATCAATGACCTTACGGTAAGTTACAATCGTTAGAAATTCCAATCTAGAAATGTGATCATATTTCAATGGATTTCATAACCAAACTACCTACAATACCAAAGGGGTTTGATGCTATATGGGTTGTGGTGGATCGATTATCTAAGTTTGCTCATTTCTTACCGATGAAAGAATCGTATTCCATAGATCGACTAGAGAAGTTATATATTGATGAAGTGGTAACATGTCACGGTGTCCCATTGTCAATCATTTCTGATCGAGGCAGTCGATTCACCTCTATGTTCTAAAAGAGTTGTCAAAGAGAAATGAGTTCACAAATAAAGTTAAGCACAACTTATCATCCACAGACCGATGGGCAAAGTGAACGAACGATTTAGACACTCGAAGACATGCTTCAGGCATGTGTTATTGACTTTAGAGGATCATGGGATAGCCATTTTCCTTTGACTGAGTTCATCTATAATAACAATTATCACTCGAGTATCCAGGCAGCACCTTTTGAAGTTTTGTACGGGCGAAAATGTCGAATACCATTGTGTTGGAATGAAGTGGGCGAGAAACAATTGGTTAGATCTGATATAGTTCAGTTGATGGTGGATTAGATTAATCAGATTCGTGAACGAATGAAAGTATCCCAGG